ACCTGAGCGACAAGATCGGCGGTGTGGTTTTACTAGTAAAGGATAGGCTATAACAATGGAGTCTATCCCCTGCACCTACGCATCCTCCTGGCGTCCGACTGGTTGATGTGGCTGCGCTCCTTGTCCCGATCCTGCTACCTGAACCCCCGTGCCCCGCAATTGCGGGAACGGGCTTCTGCAAGGCGAAGTTTGGTTAGGAGAGGAAAGGGAGAAGGAGCGTTTCGTCCAGACCCCGCTAGAGGACTCGTCAGTAAGGCGATCTAGCGGGGCCCTGCCTTAGACGCGGGGTTGAGGGATAGTCCACTTCGCGGTGTATATATACAAACAAAAGACGTTTGAGTTCTTGCGAGAAACAAATCCCTCTAGCGTCGAGTTACGGCGATATCCTTTGCAGGAATTGTTCATTCAACTGTGAATATTTCAAAAAGTTAATTCTTTTTTTAAAATTTTGACTAATTCTATTATTTTACGAGAGAGAACGTTTATGTACTTTTGACAGAAATACACCTACTATTCCTTACGCCTGAATCAGCAGGATGCGTCGGATTCATAATCCAAAAGCAGCAACTTACAGTAGAGGTTCCGAACTTTAATTTGATCAAAAAATTATCGCCCTACAATGAATCCTCGTGGAGTTATCGTCGGTCAAAGTTGACCAATTCTTATCCGAGATTCTACTACGCGCGAACTACGGATCTTGTTGCAATATTAGTAGGATGTGACGGATTTGTAATCCTGAATCAATGTCTGAAAGTAGAGTTTCCGAGCTTTGATTTGGAAAAGGAACCATCATCCTAGGATGTTTTTTCGCGGAGTTATCGTCAGTCAAAGGTGGCCAATTCTTATCCTATATTTTCCTACTCATGGTCTGCTGATCTTGCTGCAAAATATGAACTTAATTACAACAAACTAAAATAAAATGGTAGTTTGTTTCCTTTCTCAATATTTGCAATAGATTGACAATAATCTAACAGCATTTTTAGAGTTTATATTGGGATCGAACTGTAGTAATTGCCAATTTTTTCAATACAAATAAAACATGATCTTTTTATATTACAATTAATGATCTTTAATCGATCATATTGTTACCGCGATTTGTCCAAATAAAATCGCTGTAATATGAAACTGAAGTCGAACAGACAGTTGAGATCGGCCTGTCGAACGATCAACGTTACAAATTCAAAGTTCTTTAATACAATTGAATTGTGTCGCATTATATTCTATATTAACTATAAACAAAATGCCTCGACGCGAGAAAAGCCGAGAGGTTCTCAACAATATTTTCCATTTTGATCGTAGACCTTCCGTCGTCTCTCTGTAAGTTTCATGATTTCACGCTCGTAAAATTTCAGATTTTACTGGCAAAAAGCTGAACCAAGTATGATTCCATAGTGCCGTCATCGTTGCAAGTTTTACCATTCAAGGAGCTTTGCAAAGATCACTTCTCAGCCATGGTCCAATAATTCTTGGCGAGTGACCAAAGTTATCTATGGTCTAGCATTAGCATGGTGGAATACATCTTTGCGATTCATCAGTTCTAGTCGTTTCTCTTTTACCGCCACGTTTAGTTTGTCCAGCTGGCTTCAGTATACATTGGAATTGATCCTTTGGTTCCTCTGAAGCAACTCAAAATTCACAATACCTTTATAATCTCACCAAATTGACAGCACGATCTCCTTTTGGAGTGATTCATCTTTCGATGTGGTTTGCACTGATTCATTACGCTTGGATCATGATCGTTTACGGTTGATGTTATCGTAAACAATTCATTTTTCATAGCCAGTAATGTTGTGCTGTAACATGTAATGATTACTATTACATTATAAATTTGTTTGTGAATTTGTTCTATTTTAAGAGCGAGGTCCGTAACGTACCGTGATGGTACATGGGCACAAATATACGTCTACTATTCCATACGCTGGAAATAGTAGGATGCGTCGGATTCATAATCCTGAAACAGCATCTTAAAGTAGAGGTTCAACGCTTTAATACGAAAAAGAGACCATCGTCCTACGATAATTTTTCGTAGAGCTATCGTCAGTCAAAGTTGGCTAATTCTTATCCGAAATTTTTCTAAGCGAGAACCGCGAATCTTGAAGCAAAATATGAACTTTCTACCTCAATTGTAACAACAATCCACAACAACTATATTAGTTTAGTTGGTAGAGACTCGAGTGAGATTGTAATGTAGAATAGTAGACTGTATCGTTAAAACGCGGATTTGGTAGACTAAAGATATTTGAATAAACAAAGATATACACAGAGGAAGGATGTGTAGAATAAAATTTTGAAATGCGATGATGCATCGTGAAGCTCTCGAATGAGACAATCAAGCGCTCGATGTCGGTCAACTACAAAGCAGTAGCGATGATTGCAAGCGCAATAGAATAGAGCAGAATTAAACTGCAAGTGCAGGAAGATTACCAGCGTAATTAAAGCGAACTCATTCGACAGAGGATTCACACATGCTACGATCGCATTATACGGGCCCATTCATATTGTCGTGGACCAGATTTACACTCGGTGGACCAGATTGGGCAATTGGTCGTGTTATTCTCACGATCTTAGAATGAAACCGATGTTTCTAGTCGAACGTGGGTTGAAAGGGGGAGGATTCATGGTTTGGGGAGGAATTGGATATAAAGGGAAAAGAAATATTCGTTTTATCAATGCGAAATTAAAAAGCTCTGATTATATGAAACTATGTGACGAAGAAATTGCAGCAGATGCGGAACGAATTAATGGAGATACATTCATCTTTCAGCAAGACAATGCATCAGTGCATAATGCCGAACCAGTAAAAACATATTTTGAATTTAATAATATTTAACTTTTACGGGCCTATTTATATTGACATGGTCCATCGGTCAGGAGAGGTAAAGGAATAGGGTAATTGAAAATTGGAGGGTGTAAGCAGCGCTGAACGCTCGTTACAGTCCATAGGATCAATGTCTTAAACGGACAGCGTTGCATAGGAAGCGTAGAAATTAGATAAACGTATTTGATTTTGGGATTAATTGAAAGGATGGCCCAGTTGACAAATACATAGACAGCGACGTCACGAACAGAAGTCAGACGCATGTATACAGTGTATCTGTATACAGTGCGGATCGTTCACCTGTGTTTGTGTCGAGCTCGTACAGCTGAGATTGGCTCTGCGTACAAAAACTGATGTCCCGCTCGAGTTTATGTACACAAACCAAGGCGATACTCGCAAGAACACATTTCTCTGGATCTAATTTTAGACATAGCAGTTTCTTTTCTTTCTCGGTATTTGTAATAGGTTGATTTATAATTATAATAATGTAACAGCATTCTTAGAGTTCGTATTCCACAAAATCTATATACTATTTTAGCAATTTAGCATCTTTCCACTGAATCAGCAGTCTTAAAATCTTTCCACTGATTCCCGCTGCACTGCATATTTTTCTTATAAATGCATAAAATCTCTAGCATAAATGATGAGTATTGTTAGACAAAACTTTACAAGCATGTTTTTCAAAACGGTAACCATGGTATCTCAAAATCTGCATAACCATATAAAGTTAGGTCCACGTTTCGCGTAGTTAATGTTTTTTTAACGGGGAAAGTGAAACGCATTCAGTATTGTTATTGAAAAAGAAAACACGTGCGTCGCTTTTGGATATCAGGCCAATTGAATGTTCTTGATTGGTCAATCCGATCGACGCAGATTAAAGCATCGCTTTATCACTCGTGAATAAAGCGAACAATTTCATCCGACTGTCTCATTACTCACGAACAAAGCAATTAAATTCATTAAAATTTTATCAGACAGCTTAAGTACTTATAAATAGTGAGCACGTTTTTTTTTTAGTTTTATTAAATTTTATATTTCTTGGGCACAGTGTGAACTATGTCATTTGAGTTTTATTATATCACTTTATTACTTGAGAAATAAATGAATAAGTGTGTTCAGAATTTCATCAAGTTGCTCTATCACCTGAGAATAGAATCAACGATATTATGTTCATTTTATCATATTTTACCCTCTTCCGTTGCAACAATGCAGGGAAGAAGTTCAATTATCCGGCGTTCTTATTTGCTCTGTGGAGAATGAGATACCATGGAAGAAATTTGCTGGGACAAGCGTACCTCTTATTTGAAATAGAAAAAAGTTTTTTCTCACGGGGTTAAAAGTGCATCGGGGAACGCAGTATGTATTCGAATTTTTGACACTGCAATTATCTGAATTGCGGATCTCGCAGTTTCCAAAGTCTCGGAAATCCCAGTCATTTGCCGTCATCACCAATTCCCACCTTCATCTTTGTGCAAGCTTCCACCTTCTTATAACCCGCGAAAAAGAATTGGCACACTTTAAAATTCAGTAAATTTTAATATTCCAACTTTACCATTAACGTTTCGTACTTCTATAAACTTTCAATAATATCCGTATGAACATACTCGAATGCAATAAATGTTTTGTTAAGTGTACCCTCATTTGGTTTCAAATTTTGTTTGCATAAAAATTCTCTTGTATTACATATAAATCTAATTGGACTTCTGAAATTCACTCGCAGATATTATGTTGATAACAGATCATAAATACTGGTACAAATGTATACATTAATACGAGAGCTTACGTCTATCGTTTCATACCAATCACAAGATTGGATTCATTTCTACTTTCTACGATTTTTACGGTAAAATACTCTTGCATGTAGAAGTTCATACAAAATTTCCCAACGTACACACTTTTTACAGAATCAGGACTTGTGAGAAAAAAGATTGAAAACCGTTTATTTTGACAGTTTTGATATTTCTAGTGTCCAAGACATTGAAATTGCAAAGATTCCTTCATTATAAATCATTGAACGAATTTCTTAAGGTCTAACCGAAATATAAAATGTGAAAATAGAAAAATAAATTACAAAAAAATTTGGGGGCGTTTCGTCCCAGACCCGCTAGTGGACTCATCAGTAAGGCTTTTCTAGCGGGCCCTGCCTTAGACGCGGACGGAGATTCAGCGAGGGAAGATTATGTTGACGGACAGTTGGAAGACCAGGGAGATGGGAAGCACTCGAAGTGCGTTACCGCTCGATACACCGAATCACTAATCACGGGGGCTACCGCGATTAGTAACTCGTATCTATCGAACCGTAGTTGCAGTTACCTAGTAAGACCCTATTTCTGTTGCAATCTCAACAGTTTCAATTGACTATAGTGTAGTGATTGACCGTTGAGATTTGCTATTGACTTTTGTGATTTAAGGTACCTTTATTAAAGGCACCTTAAGCCACTTTTGTCCGTCTATCTCTTGTCGTTCCTTGTTGCTGTTGATGCGGGCAACCTGAGCGACAAGATCGGCGGTGTGGTTTTACTAGTAAAGGATAGGCTATAACAATGGAGTCTATCCCCTGCACCTACGCATCCTCCTGGCGTCCGACTGGTTGATGTGGCTGCGCTCCTTGTCCCGATCCTGCTACCTGAACC